TTTAATACGTCTTCTTTGTGATTTTATTATACTTTTGTCCAATGGAATAAAGAATTAAGTTCACAAAACATATTTTATATTCTTTGGTGGGGCTTATCCTAATCATATTTGGTGGCTTTTGAGTTGTAGACTTGTAGTCAAAACCATGTTTTAGTTAATTATTTTGAAAGGGCAAAATAGTCATTTGATAGTTGCATTAATGCGTGAGTGTGTCACGCACTTCGATCTTATATGACTTAAAAGCTTTGCATAGTTGCACGAGTTTGTGATTATCTTCATGACAGGAAGTTTTTATAGTAAAGTTGAAATAGAAAACACTTAACCTGTATTAAATACTTTGTATATCCAATACACATATATCAACCATGAAATGTTATCTTAATACGAAGTACGAGTATTATCAAATACATCAACATACCATTATCAGAAAATTACCTATGTATCTTTTGTACAAGCAAATTGCCAAATTATAATACGGAGTATCCTATCCATCAGATCGGACCTTTCTTCTTGTCTCAGATATGAGAAGATTTTCAACAAGTAGTTGTAACTAGTAGAATAAAATATTTGTAATTAACTTAAAAAAAATGGATTATCTTTAACAATATTACAGCTAAGGGTGTGTTATGTTTGGAACTTACAAATGCACATGCTAATAATACCCAGTTGTACTGTTGTACTTGTTAAGCATGATGTATCAACAAATAATAATTATGTGAGTTAATTAAGAATTAATGTAGTTAGGAGACTAGGGTATATTGCCCAAAGCACAACATAACGCAATTACACCACAGAATACAAGTTAAATGGACCCATGTGTCCTATTTATTCCACAACAAATAATCTACTTTGGTGCTTCACTGTTTCTAGTGTTACTAATTTTTCATATACTTAGCCATGACGTCCGACATGAATCAGCAGTAGTTTAGCAACACAGCACTTTTCGTTCAATTCCAAAGGATCTGGTTAGTGCTTTATCTCCACTAAAATTCCTAATTATTCCCCAATCTAGTCGAGATATTTTGATTTTCAGGTTAGTCAATGCATAAATAATTCAATGATGGAAGTGTTAATACTATGCATATGTAATTATCAATGAGTAAAAATTCTGGAGTATAAAAGTTGATACATGAAGTACTATACTTTTATTGTGAAAAACATGCATAGAGGTGAATCTAATTACTCGTACATAAGAATATTTACTATGGTCTTGAGTCAAACTTGAGCAACTTGTGAGCTATATATTTCTCCCTTCTTTTATGAACTAATAGTCTTACATACACTACTTCACAATCAGACTTACGTAGTTCGTACATGTTCAACAACTTATTTTCCATATGTTCTCTTATATATGTTACCACCTACTATATAATAAACCGCTTTAATATATCTTAGATCCCCGATCCTCAATTCAAACATGTACTAACTCATAACATAAAAAATCAGGTTGAAGAATTGTTAAATATAATGCTAATGCTGAAGTAAATGATAACGATGATAATGATGATGTTGTTGATAGGTGTAAGGTGTGTGTACTAAATAGAGTTTGGAGATTCAAAATTGAAGAGTATTCAAAAGTCATGCGTAAGAGACAGAGGGAAAGAACCAAGCTAAGTTAGGATGTGACAGGTCCAGTTTAGTTAACAGCAAATAATACAAGTAAGTTTATTTGCATTGACATTCATTATTCATCTACCAAACATACATGATATGGGCCAGTGGAGATGTTGGAGGGCTACCTTACATTATTATATGCTTTTGTTAGGTAATATGCGCTCATTTTATTAGCCATATGCCTCTTTTTTTTTGGCTGATTCTGTTTTTAACTATTTTCTTCCATAAAATATTAATGGAAATGGGCCACGCGCCTGATAAATATTTAGGATGATTTTCATTAATCAAATAGGGGTTAAAATAACTAATACGGAGTAGCAATCATAATCGTAAAGTTTAATATTTAATACTCGATGTATAAAATTATATACTTCGTATATGCATTAACATATGATTTCAACCAAAAAGAAAGGTGGGAGCAACTAGGATGCAAATGAAAAAAAAACACTTTTGTAAGATAAACAATATAAATACTTTACTAGGTGTGGTTAACGTTATAGTGATCATTGTCTTTACATACCAAATTAATTAGTTAGATGATCTCATTCTATATAAAGTTATACTTGTAATTTTTTTAGATACTTCATGAAATAGATTTATATGCAAGTAGGAAAGGGTTTATACTTGTACAAAAACTCTTTATTCTAACTACTACGCCTACACTTTATTGGTAAAATCATTGTTAATGTAAAAGTATAAAACAATATGTTTTCTTATTGAAACACATGCAATTAGTCAATTACACAAGCTTCCCAAAGTCCAAATCAGGGCAATTTGAGAGGATAACAAACTAAACAAATCCAAATAAATTGATTGGTTGTCTTCGAGATTTTCTGGATAAATTTCAATTTTCCTGGGATGCTGATATGTATATAGAAATTTAAGCACATATTGTATTGATCAACCCTGTTTGAATAAATGATTGGGAATTATTCACGGGTCTATTTGTTTTTTTTTTGTCTCAAATATTTTGTTTTCATTTTCAAAGATTTGGACCTGGTCCTATTTTGTTTAATTCGCACAGGTTGAGCCTCCTTCTAAATATTGGATCATACATAAGTCCTTGTCTCACTGAACCAATATATTGATAAGTCATTTTTCGATATTTTAGGATCCAGATATAAACGAAGATATGTTACTTTTTGTTTATGTTGACTTGTCCAAATTTTATATGGCAAAGAAGACTTTATTTCAAAATATAGCTCCTTTTGTTTTTTTTTTTTAATTGATTTTAAGATTGAATATTAGTGAGTGAAAACTATGAGGATGATAAATATATTATTCAGCGGAAAATACAGTAGAAATTGAGAAGTCGTTTAGTTGACATCCAAATATATGAAATTTCAACTAGTCCATTCTTGGTTAATTAAAAAGTTTTATCTAGTTCGTCATAGGCAGTAAGTACAACTTCATAGTCAAGAAAATTATTTTACTCCATTTTTCCTACGTGTAGTAGACTAACAAGTGACAACCACTGTTATGAAAAATTTACTGTATCTTTTAGTTTCATGGTTGTTTTTACAGCTAATGAACTTCGCTGCCTGACCCAGTAGGGTGATAATGGGCCGAATACCTTAATACTGAGGCTTTAACAGTCTCGTAAAACAATATTGCAATTGGGCCTAATAGTATAGCAACAAAAGAAAACAATTGGACCTTATGGGGGTTATGGCAAATGGCAAGACTATAAATTAATGAAAATGTAATATAAACCACTTTCATACTTAACGTAGTCAACAAGAAAGGAGTCAAGATTGAATCAACGCAAACAATACTCCGGAGTTTTCCTTCCGTACATACCTGCTTACAAGACGCACCTCGTGCCTTGTATGATTGTACCTATTTGGCTCAATGCCAAGTTTTTCACAGCCTAAGAGACCACATTAGTACATTACATATATATATAGGGGGAGAAAAGAAACAGTGAAATAGAAAAGTTAACATGCACGACTTTTGTTATAAATTCACTGGTTAAGTTTTTTTTTTTTTTTTGGAAGAAACTTGTTAATTACTCCCTCTGTCTCTTTATTTTTGCCCTATTTGACTTTGCACGGTCTCCAAGACATGTATTAAAACGTTTATATCTCCATTTTCTTACGCGTAAAAATTATATAAATTTGATATTAATTAAATTTACAAAGAGACGGATCAAACAAAATCTCACATGACTATATTTCATTTTGAAAAACAACAAGAATTTACGGTCTAAGTTTTCAAAGTTTGACCCACATTTTGGCAATGGGGCAAAAAATTAGGGACGAAGGGAGTATTAATTAAGGCTTATTACTTTAACTTATTAATTAATTAGGTCTTTCAACACGATCTTAGGCTTTTATACTGTATTTATACTTTTTTGACACATATACTTTATCTATACTTGAAATAAGGAATTTCCATTTGAGCTTATTATGACATGAAGTAGTCTTTTAGTTTTTTTGTACTTTGACCTCATTTTGATGTTATAGGAACAAAAAATTATCACGATAACTTTTTTTAGATAATGCTCAACATGTATTCAAAATACTAATTTCTACTAAATCACAAGAATAGGTAATAAAATCACCTCATTTGATGTTATAAACTATGTGTACTTTTGTATTCGTAAGATTTTACTTAATATGCATTTTTAAAATACTCCGTATTTTCAACTAAATCACAAAGATTGATAATAAGCTCGTGAAATATAATAAAAAAATTGAGCCTTAAGGTGAATTATCGAGGTTCCAAATGAACTACTCATTGAGTTGCTAGTAGTTTTACAGATTCACGCATCAAATTAAGGAAACAATCTAGTTCTTCTCAAGATTTTACAAGATTCATTTACACCTTTTTATATTTCTTTTTCTGTGTAAAACACACACACATAAAGATTACATGCATCAAGTCACGCTTATACAAAGTTACAAAAATCTTGTCGTTTATCCTAGTTAATGGATTATCAGGAAGAAGAGTTTTGATATGAAAAAATTCTGAAAATGGCAAAAATGTTAGTTCCCAAGATTACAAAGATGAAAGTAAAAAATGACAGGAAAACTGGCAGATATACATAACATCTAATCACAAATTTGGTCATTTGGGAATCTTATTTTTTGAATCATAGGGAATGACATGTCTGTTACCTTTGAAGAAAGCAAAGTGTTTTAAAGATAAAGAGATAAAATATGTAATCATGATGTCCATATAAGAGGGGAAAATAAAGGATCTAAGTAAAATTTAATTTCCTTTTTTTGGGTTAGTCAAAAAGTGTTTACAAAAAAAATATTAGTCAAAAAAACAAATTTTAAGCATAATTTGGTCATGTACTTAGGTAAAATGAAAGCTATATTATGTTATGTAATGATGAATTTATGTCCCCTTTTGTCAAATTTCATTTCATAGAATTTCAATGATAACCTGTAAAGGCTTAAAATGCTTTCTTCTTTCCTTACTGTTACTTTCAGTTTTTGATCAAAAGATCTACATAAAATTAATTAACCTTACATCCAAATAAAAACCATGAAATAAATTTAACCCATCTTAGCCTTAATTACTACTAATAATTAATAACTACTACGAATCTAATGACCGTGATCAATACCCAAAAACTAACAATGTTACCTAGTCGTGGTATGGGTATGGGAACGCAAATTGTACCACTGTACCAATTCACATGTATAGGATTATAATCCGCGGGAAATAGCAATATAGGTAACACTAGCAAAACACGAGTAACTCAGTGTAAATCCGCCCAAGCGGCGAAAACTGGCATTTGAGGGAGTGAAATGGAAGGGGCCCTAAGCTCGACAGGTTGGTTAATCCAAGTGCCAATGTTTGCTGCAGGATTAGCAAACAATTTGGTTGCTGAAGGTGGCATTGTGAAGGCCAAAGGCAAGCTGCTGTTAGTGTTCTTCTCAGGACTCTCTTCTCTTGAGCTGCTCAAGCTAGTAACCAATGATGACGTGTTAGAGTAATGGGCCCCACCACCAATCTCTTGTTGGGCTGACCCCAGCATTGCATCATGGGCTTGGGCTGAGCGCATTCCAATTGAGGCCTGCTCAATCTGTTGTTGTTGTTGCTGCTGCTGCTGTTGTTGCTGCTCCTGGGAGGAATGGTAAAGGACGATTTTCCAATCAGGTTTCTCTCGTTCCTCCTCGTTTACGTTCTTTTCTGGTGCCGGTGGTGGTGGTAGTGGATCCTTGGTTCGCCTAGCTAGCTCACTAGCTAACAGGGTACTACTAGCCATGATACGGTCTACGTCGTACCTAGCTATGTCGAAGTTGGTCACTGCATTAGTCCCTCTGAATTTAATTGCTGCAATGTCATACGCCTCGGCCGCTTCCTCTTGAGTACCTAAGTAAAAAAAAGAAAAAAAGGAGTCATACTCATAATCAAAACAACTAGTTGATCCACTTAAAAAGCAAAAACAGAATTTTTTAGTACTAAACAAAAGAGTTTCTTTTACAAAAGAAAAGAAAAAAGGATCAACTTAACATATGATCTTTTCTTTTTAAGAAAATAAAGTGAAAGAATGTTGAGAAGGCAACAGAAAAAGGATTGATTTAAAGATATTCTCTTACGAACAGCCTTATCAAAAGACCCATATAATAGTACGAGTAGTAATACTTGCGCAAGTATTATTATGATCATATCACCAGTGTCCAAAAAGATGATATACACTTATTAGTGGATTTAAAGGATGGCTTTTTCTAGATCATAAAGAAGTCCCTTTAATATTATTATTATGATTACTTGCTCATCAAAGATTCTATAACACAAAAACACGTGAAAAAAAATTAAAGTTTTATCTCAAATTCTCATAGTTTAGTTTTAACCAACTGTTAGATTATGCTAACTAGCTAGCTAACAATTGGGTGTTAATTAATTTAGGACTAGAGAAAAAACTCACTGAATGTTCCCAAGTATAGGTCTTTGTTCCCGGCTACTCGGCCGATTCGTGCCTGCCATCTTCCATGCTGATGATGCCTGACATAAAAGCAATCAAATTAGTATGATACATTCACACTAAATGTGGTTGCATTGTTTAAACTAGGTTTAATAGTTTTACCTTGTAACTCCTCTATAGATTGATGCACCTCTTGAAAACCCACTGCTTTTCCTGCAGTAAACACATAACATTACCATATAATTAATTAATTAATTAATTGTTGACCTAAGATAATTAAAATTGGCATATGATAGCAAATGACATTATATAATCAGTGCATTTTAAGTCAAAATAAGAAGTTAAAAATAGAAGGTAATTAAATGGTGTACCTTCTAAGATGAGCAACAAATTCTTGCCTAGTCATGTTCTTCATGTCTTCAAGTTGTTGTTGGTAATTTTCCAACTGTTTTCAGTAACGATATCAAAATTAAACATTTCAGAAACAGGAAATTTTGGTCTACTTTGAAACAAACAATAATAAAAATAGAAATGATTACCGGAAAATTGATATGAGTAGAGGACCCCCAATACTTGAGTGCAGCCATATCATATGCTCTTGCTGCCTTCTCTTCTGTATCATATCCTCCTATAATTGTCCATTTTTTTTTTATTAGAATTTCCTTTATTTCAAGCGTCAAGACAAATTAAATAGAAAAAAAATCAAGAAAATATTCCTGCAAGACTTACCTAGATATACTGCAAAATAAGACATCCAGGCCACCACAACGAAATTGAAAAAAAAAAAAAAAAAATCGAAGTTAGTTACAGAATGATAAAATTTACTATTTATCCTTGGATTTAGTTGTCATTTAACGAGTTCAAATTACACTATGAACGTGACAAAAAAAAAAAAGGTTTAGGTGTGAATTAAGACTAACCTTGCCTCCCTTTTCTACTTTGGCCTTCTTTCTTGCAACTGTTGTCCCACAAGTGAGCTTCATATCTTCCTGTCCATCTATGCCTGTTCATCAAATCATATCATATTATTCATAATTTCAAACTATACTCTAAAAAAAAAAAACTAAATAAGACATTAACCATAAAATAAAATATAAAAAAAAAAAAAAAGATAAAATTGTACCTAGTAACACCTCTATATTGAGAAGTCCTTTGGCCAAAAGTATCCAAAGATTTGCGATGAACAATTTGCTTAGTATTATGCTCAATTCTCTCTCCTCCTCTTTTCCGACTAATCTCCATCCCTAAACACGACGACTCAGTTCCCATGGCTGTCACATTGGTGGGTGTAATCTGGTGTTGGTGGGACCCACTCACACAACTGGACTGGGACCCTGGGCTCATTGACAAGCTCAGTGATTGCAAATCAGCATACCCTATCCCACCCATAGGCCCAGCACCAGGCCCATTACCGGGCCCACCATTACTACTGACACTCACACTCTGATGATCTCCACCGTTGATTTGATTATCAGCATCAACCGATCCCATACACCCAATGTAGCTCCGTTGTACCCAATTCCTTAATCCAGCTGATATTTCTGTTTCTCCCATTGTTGGTGGTGGTGGGAGTTGATGATCTCCTACTAGTTGAGGGTAAAATGGGTATTGTTGCACGTGCACAACTTGTTGTTGCTGATGATGCTCGTAATGATGATGATCGCCGCCGAAGAAATCTTCAAGTTTTGGTGTTGCATTATTTGTTGTGGTAGAGCTTGTTGTAGTAGAGCAATTCCCTATTGCAGCTTGCACCATTCCTTTTCACATTCAAAGTCAAACATAAATAAATACGGTTTTACTTGTCTTGTTTTAAATTACACTGTGAACGTGACTATTAATTATTTCGGAACATGCCAAAAAACAAAGAGTAAAAGACAAGTGAGAGTATATGATACCTTGAGGGAGGCAGAGGGAGCCATCAGATTTGAGAGGCATGAGAGAGAAAGGATGAGAGTATAACAAATTGTGATGATTATTATTATGATGATTACTGCTATGATTATTGTTATTATTATTATCATGCAGTTGATGATCGGTGTTTTCACCTCCATAATAATTACCACTGTAAATATTGTTGTTGTTTGGTTGGTAAAGCTGATGAGAAGGGAATAAACTGTTTAAGGTAGCAAGTGAGCTAGAAACTGAACTAGTACTACTAGGATTTTGATGTTGTTGATGCTGCTGTTGTTGATGTTGCTGTTGTTGTTGGTGGTGTTGTTGAGTCATGTTGTTCATTTGAGAAGAAAGAGAGAAACCTAGTAACCAACCATTGTTATTGTTGGCGGTGGTGTTGTTGGGGTTGCAGCTACTTCCATCATCATTGTTGTTGATTGACTTCATGATAATTAAACTAGGTTGTTTCTTGGTTGTCAAATTGTTCTACACTCAAGAAAAAACACAACTCAATCATTGACCAAAATATAAAAACTAATGATATGATAATAATAATCAAGTAAAAATTATCCAATGGATAATCAATCCCTAGAGAGAGAAGAAAAGGACTTAAAAAGTGAGAAAAATGAAATGAAGCAAAAAGAATGAAGAAAGAAAATATAAGTAGAGATAGTGTTGGAGAAGAGAGGCAATGAAAACCTTCTTGTTGCTGCAACAAACAACTTCATTTAGGGATCTGTGTTTGAGAAAGACATTTCTTCTTTCTTTCTTTCTTTCTTTCTTTCAATTCTTTTATTTTCTCTCTCTTAATTATTTTCTTTCTTTCATTCTTTCAACTTTGGCTTTATCTCACCCCGCGCCCTTCTCTTATTCACAAATTTTCCTTTTTTTTTTTTTTTTAAATTATAAAAATATTTAAGTTGCTACTTTCATTAAGAAGAGACCTGGTGGATTAGGCTGCAACTTTTTACTACAAATGAGTAAAACAATTGAATACAATATAAAGTGCCATAAATAGTAAAGTGTATTAGTGTATTCAATCTATGGGATAGATTGTTTTCGTACTAAGCTTTTAGTACTCTCTCTGTTCCCATTTGTTCGCTTAGAGAGTATATACATATGTAATATCTACTTTTATATTTTAATATACTTAACTCATTTTACCAATCAACTTAAAAGCTCCATATGATTAAAGAAATATTTTTCTCTATGTTTTACTCTTAAGATGATCGAATCTCACATTTGTTTAATTTTTTTTTCCTCTCTAAAAAACCTTACACAAAAAGTTATAGGCAAATAAACTGGGACGAAAGTAGCTAGTATAGATTTTGTAAACTTTTTAACGAAGTATACGAGTTATGGGACAAGCTCAAATGGACAGACTAGTAGAAAATCGTTACAAACAAAAGAGGACCGAAGAAGTATAAATCCATTAATTAAAAAATTTAATAGATATAGCTACAATTCTACGAGTATATATCACTAGATTTGATATAGTGATAGTGAAAATGACATGGAATAGGGTGTTAGATCTCCTTTTTGTTCCTTTACCCTGTTGCTTTGTCATCAATTTTGACTGGCCATAAGGACGGACTGGTGCTGTGCTATAAATTTAACATTAACATTAACATTATACTACGAGAGTACAATATCAAGGAGTACACAATAACTTATACCTAAGCTTGGCATGCATGCTATTTTCTGGCCTTAATTTAATTTTTTTGATTTTTAACAGTATTAGGGTAACTTATCCGTGTTGCATTACGTTTTACAAACTATGTTTGCCTATTTTTAGAAAGTTTATCACTTGTAAATTTTGCAATTGGACTTTTGGGTTCAACTATGTATCATTTGCATTTATGTAACCTTTAGAGGTGTAGGTGTTAGATCTTTTGTCTTAAACCTTACCCATGTTGTACTTGTACTCGTCTTATTTATCATGGAGTAAGGTCCAGGAATAAGTTTTATACTCTATCACGCCCTCTTACACGAGAGTCCGTTAGGCTTGAAGTGTAGATGCAGCATGGGTCCTCCGTATACCTTAATATTCCACTTCGAAAGGAAGGGTGGATGAGATTTGAACCCACGACCTTTGTGTCACGCTGACTCTTGATACCATGTTAGTAGACCAACTCAACCAAAAACTTAAGTTTAAACTGATAATTGAAGCTCAGAAATATTTTTTATATTCTATCACTCTCTAAAGTTAAGGTTTGAAAATTTTTAATTGAAAAGTTCCACTGATATCAAAATAATGAAAATATCATGTGAAAATCTTGTTACAATATCTTGGTATATATGTATTTTACACTTAATACTTATTTATATAGTTTAAGGTATTACTCCATAATTGTTAAGCATGTGTATTAGAGAGTATGAAAAGCAAGTGTAACCATTTTTGTAAAAGCTAATGAAATGTGATGTAATTAGGGTGGAGGATACAATGTTGGAAACAATGGGGAATTACTGAATTAGGGATCAATATAACGAGCATTTTTTTTAATAAATCACAAGGGCAATACAATTTCGCAAATATGTATACCTGTAACTTATTGTACATATGCAATTCATCAATTAAAACCAGGTAGGTCAAGACCTTGTTGGTATAGCCGAGCAAGATCATATACTACCTCCATTTTTTTTATATGCAACTTTTGTCATTTTAGTCCGCTTACAATTATGTGCAACTTTCTATTTTCTTTCTATTTTTAGTAAACAAAAACCCTAAAAATTACAAATTTACCCTTACTTAAAAATTCAGATTTTCTCAATGTTACCCTTATCTTATTTTAATCACAATAACTTTTTTGTCTAATCTAAAATCATTAACCTAATTTTACCCACCCATTTACTCATCTACCCACCACCCATTCACCCTCTTCATCTCTGCTTCACCCTTTTCATCTTTTCATCTCTTTCACCTTCACCCTCTTCATCACCCTCCTCCCTCAAGAGTCACGACCACCGCCCCTCCCACCACCATTCTCTCTCCTCCTTCACAACCACTTCCCATCCCACCGGCATTCTGTTCCCTATTACCACGGCTTTCTGCTTCCTATGACCACCGGCTTTCTCTCTTCATCTTTTTTTTTTTCGTTTTTTTTGGGTGATTTATGTTCGAATTTTCTGGGTTTTTTTTTCGATTTTCTAAGTTTCGAATTTCTGGGTTTTTGATTTCGATTTCCTGAGTTTTGATTTTCTGGGTTTTGATTAAGGGGTGGTGGGTGGGTTAGGATTAAGGGGTGGTGGGTGGGTTACGATTAAAGGGTTTTCTACGGTGGTGGGTGGGTCTGGGTACATGGGTGGTGGGGTGGTCTGAGTTAGGGTTGGGTCTTGGTGGCGTGGGTGGTGGGGTGGTCTAGGTTAGAGGTGGGTCTTGGTGGCATGGGTGGTGGGGTGGTCTGGGTTAGAGGTAGGTTTGTGTGGTGGGGTAGTCTGGGGTGGGTTTGGGTGGTGGGGTGGTCTGGGTTGGAGGTGGTTAGGGCTGGTAGTGGAGGGGAATGTTAGATTTATGGGTTTTTTGGTTAGGGAAGGGGCTGCCGGAAAAAGGAGGGAAAGACGTGAGGGTGGTGGTGGTTTCGTGGGATTGGTTGTGGTGGTGGTGAAGTCGGCGGTGGTGTTAGTGAAGGCGGCGGCGGCGGTGGCTGGTCTTGGTGGTGGCAGTGAGTGGTTTGATTAATTATCTAAACATTAAGTATTCACCTTAATTACATACTCCTATAATATATTAATCACCATTATACTTTTTTAATCTTATGAAGGTAGTATATACATGCATGTTATTTAGGTCAATTTCAACTTTAAACTTGAAAATTAGTGTAGGATTGACTTTAGGGCAGTTCTTGATTTTGTAGAGAATATTCCATGCTGTATAAAATCTTTTATTAAAACGTACAATAACCAATATCTCCTTATATTTAATCATGTTAATCTTTTTATTTCCCCTATAAGTATAATACCATACCATTTTTAAATCTAATGTTAATTAAACAATTAAAAAATGCATGCATGGGTATATATGTAGAGCTAGAGCTAGTAGTGATAGGTAAAAAAGTTACAAGTTCCAAGCAAAAAATGGTGACGGTAGGCGTTGGGAGGCAGCTTTATGCAGGTCATTTCTAAGCTTTAGCATTATTCAGATCAGATTAAACTGTACTACTACAATAACAGACGAGACTACTACTATATGACTCTCTATGAGAGAGAAAGAGATAAGAGAGTATTATATGTAGTGCATATTAGCTAGCTGGGTCATTATATTCACGGGCTAGCCTTAACTGTATATTTATCCCCCCACCCCGACCGTCGTTTTTAACTCGTCATTTCACACCCAGCTAAGCTACCTCTGCTACACTTTCATTTTTATTTTTATTTTTTTTAAAAAAAATAAAAATAAAATTTTGACCTATGTTTCATTTCAATTCTATAGGTCTGGTTCTTGTTATCAATGCTAATAAGACTTTCTACATCCTATGCATTATTACAATATTATTACGGAGTATATAGAGTAAAAATTTCATTCCTTTTCCTTTTTAAAAAAGGGTTTTGAATTTTGATCATACAATTATAGCCTAAAAACAAAAAAAAACTCTAATCACATGTATTAGCTCTTCATACCATGACAAGTTTGTTTTTACTTTTATTAATCATGTTAATCATTACGAAGTACACAATGTAGAATTTTTTTTTTTTTAAAGTCAGTCCTAAGATTAAATTCCTAAAATTTTAACACGGAAGGAATTCTAATATTCTATGCCTATGAAGATGATATTCCAAAACCGATGCTATACTATACAAAAATAATACGTAGTAGGCTAGATATATATTACTTAACCTATTCCTAGCGGAGTAATTAAATCTAATGAACTCTAATATAATTATATACTGTTATGTTGGCAGATAATTAAGAAACATAAAGAAATAACCATGCATTACCATTGAAAATTAAAGGTGTTTCCAAATATAGGGAAAAATAACTAATGGTAATAAATATTGCAGGCTAAATTTTAAATGGCTTAGCTTGTTTTAGGAAAACTATAAATTGAGCATTTCCTTCATTTGTATGTAATAATTTCTAGAGAAAATCTGAGAGAAGAAAAATAACTCAGAGAAAAGAGAGGTTGTGTTTTTTTGCACTTTGGTATAAATAGACATTTTGTTTATGTAATTTATTTCTCCCTCAAATTTGATTAAATAGAAAATTTGCATTATTTTCTTAACAATTGGTATCAAGAGCTTGGTTGACAATTAGTCCACATTACGATAAAAATAAAAACGATTCTAAAAGAAAAAGTCAAATTTGTGGGAGAAATGGCTGCAGACAAAGGAGAAGTTAAACTTGAAAAATTCGATGGTAAAGATTTCGGATTTTGGAAAATGCAGATTGAAGATTATTTATACCAGAAAAAACTCTATCAACCTCTGGAAGAGAAAAAGCCAGATGGCATGCAAGAAACAGAATGGAAGCTTTTAGATAGACAAGCACTCGGAGTTATTCGATTGACGTTATCACGCAATGTGGCGTTTAACATTGCAAAGGAAACCACAACGGCAGGTCTCATGAAAGCTCTCTCTAATATGTATGAGAAGCCATCAGCCTCCAATAAAGTTCATTTGATGAGGCGGTTGTTTAGTTTGAGGATGTCGGAAGGTGTGTAGCTCAACACCTTAATGAACTCAATTCTGTCACAACCCAATTGAGTTCTGTTGAAATCAAATTTGATGATGAAGTATTAGCGTTAATACTTTTATCTTCCCTGCCAGATAGTTGGAATGCTACAGTCACATCTGTGAGTAGCTCATCGGGAAATAACAAGTTGAAGTTTGATGACGCTCGTGATCTGGTTCTTAGTGAGGAGATTCGACGAAGAGAATCAGGTGAATCTTCATCCTCTTCAGTATTGCATACAGAGTCAAGAGGAAGAAATTTAATCAAAAGGAATGAACGCGGAAGATCAAACTATCGAGGACAATCCAGAGATAGGAGGTCAAAATCCAGGAATCCAAATAATTTCCAAAACTCAAAGACTGTGGAGTGTTGGAATTGTGGAAAGATTG